GCTCATACATTCTTTGTAAAATTTTGAGCTTTTAAACCCTCGTCGCACAAAAAGTATTCAATACATCGCGCTCAAATTCCTTGGGACAGTTAATCGTGGTGTGCCCTTTCAATGTTCAGTAGTAATCTCTTTGCAGCTCCATCAGAAACTGTATCGCTTATGGTAATGAGGCAAATATTGTAAACAAAGATTCTCCTATAGTTAAAGAGAATAAAAGATTATGGAAATAACAAGTCCGACGGTATCCTTTTTCCAAATATCACTCATACACTGTATATCTCAACTATGTTAGTTGCTGAGTGGGCAATAGGGTGTCAGTGGCTGGTTACCATTTGTTAGAGTGAACATGTCGGGATGACCGTTGAATAATGGTAAAGGATTTTGCAAAATCAGCAAACCAACCGAACGAGATGGCGCTTACCATTTGCAATTCCATTTCTCGTAATTGTTTTCGGCTTATGAGAGACTGGAAACTGGAAAATTTAGTAAATGGTAAGGAAATTTCTTTTGTCCCGTTCCGAACCGAAAAAGAGGACCACCTCTGGAGGTAGTCTACAATTTTCCGAACGGATTTTCCGGAAAATTACTGTTCCATTTGACTTTGAACCGAAATTTCCGATCTTTTTGCTGAACGATAAACACCCATTGTATACTTCCTTTTTTTCTGAATCCTTGATGGTTTGTGTTTTCTCTGTTCCTCGCTGTAGGGATCTCCTGTCTTATTGATAATTAGCTGTGAAAAGGATTTCCAGCTATGTTCTGAATTTATCAGGAAAGGATTTGGTAAGAAGGAATTGTAGTTCATCTACGTTGTATTGTTTTGAAAAAGTTCCAAGGAGAACGTAACATAAACCACAATGTGACCGTTGTTTATGGGTGGTGTATAATGTATTCGATTGGTCTTTTACGAGGCAGATCCCTCTAAAAATTACAGCTGTTATTAAAACCAACTCAGGAAACTCTGTGAAACTGGTAAAGCAATAGATTGTTCGTAGGAAATACTGACCATTTAGGCTTACCATTTTTTCACTTTTTGAACAAATTATGAGTGTAATTCATATTTTCTTCGATTGTACAACTTGTTTATTGTTGCTGTTAATCTTTCAGATGTACACAATGCTGAACTCATCCTGTCCGGAGTTTTGAAACAGCAGCTAGATCTAGATTTGTATCCTTTCTAATCAGCTTTTCGCTTACATGTAGTTCTTCGTTCTGCTCTGATAATTTGGCCGCGCATCAGGATCAAGGCTTCATTCCCTTGTTGTTGAAATTTGTATTGATATTGTCAAGACAAAGGACATGGGTACATTTATGTGCTTGAGGAAAAGATACACTAACTCGCCATAAGTTCCTCTGTATGACTCTTGTACGCTCACATCTTCTGTTGGGGCTCTGCTCGAATGACACCCAATGCAGGGTTGCCACGGACAGGGAAAAGTCCGGGAAAATTAGATTTTATTCAAGGTCAGGGAAAAGTCAGCGAGTTTTGTATCAGGTCAGGGAAGTTCTAACTCCCTGTTCAAAGTCCGTGAAAAGTCAGGGAATTTTATCTTAATGTTACTGCAAATTATATTATTAGATGTTTTCGTACATGCAAAGCAAGTTTGTTTTAAAAATTATCTGAGCCATCCTTATTTTTGTTGATTTATGGTCAGAATAATCATCCTGCACAGTCAGTGAAAGTTACTTTACAGTCAGTGAAAAGTCAGGGATTTTTTTTGTTCTGGTGGGTGACAACCCTGCAATGAGTTCAACTCTGTAACTCGCGGCAGCTTCCATTGCTCTTGCTCTTCAGGTTTCAGTGTCCATGAAAGGGTTTCAATGATAATAACAATAATTTATTATTCATGAATAATTAGTCATCAGACATGGATTTGGCAATATTACTGCACTTCTATTCACCTTTACTCTCAATTAGATACAAACTCTAGGTGATAATCGACGAGACAATATGATGGATAATCGTGGAATCTCTGTGTAACGTAGAAAGTTATCGCTATAATATGTACATTTATACACCGAAAGGAATGTTATAAACGATGTTAGATGATCGGTATGATAAATATGACAACAAAAACGATTTTTTTTCCCTTGGTGGGTGACATAGCGTGCTTTGGAAAGAACTTGTTTGATAGAGTTCTACTGACTTTCTGTAGATGAAATTTCATACATGTAGTTTTCCCAGTCGTCGAGATGCTTAACTTTGGATTGTCATGCAGTTTACCCCCTAAATGCACGGAGGCTGGAGGTGTTTAGACGCCATGTTCGTTATTCAAGAGAAATCCCCTGAGAGTAGGGAAAAAAGAACAAGACTTTGGTTTCTCGTTAGAAACGAGATGCGTTTCTTTCAATAATCACCAGTTTTTTTTATTATTATTATTAATTTTGTTTTGTTTTATTTTGTTTTTTTGTTTGTGTGTGTTGTTTTGGTTTTGTTTTTTGTTGTTCTTATGATATTGGTAACGTATCTCACGGTTAAATAGTAGAATTGAACAAAGGTGCAGCTGATCAATTCTAGAACCTTGAATCTGAATCCGTATTTCCCTATAAATGTCCCCTATAAACACTATAAATGTCATTTCTTAATTTAAATTTAGATATCGCCTTAGGAAATGATTGTTTCATTCTAGACATTATTTATATTAGTATACTTATGAGGAGAAACGCAGTAGCTAGTATTTAGTATTTCCTCATGTTACCTTGCATAGTATCAAGTTATTTCAGCTCACCACTGTAAGCTGCATTTTTTTAAAATCTCGTTACAACTTTAGGCGTATGTACCCAATTGTTTTTAATGTTAGCGTGAAGAACTGTAAATAGAAATTTTAAGTTGTTTTTACTGTAGCTACTGGAAAGTTGTTGAAGACCAACCAAGACTAGTGGTTGTTTTAAGTACCAGAACGAGAGTAAATAGACGTGATTAAAAGAACTTAACTACCACCTAGTTGTTGTTCTTTGTACATCAACAAGATTTTCTTAGGGTTTTGTCGACTCTCAACCTAGATACCGTGTGAGTCCGGAACACTCCGACCTCTAGACTACAGACGTTTGTCCAGTTGTACATGACATGAAAGTAAAATTTAAGAGCACTATTGAAACGAAATACTTCTTATTTAGTTAACCCGCTGTTATTTTATTCAACCAAGTTTGTTTGGGTTAAGTTCAAATCGCCAATGAGGTACCCTTTCTACCGAAAACGAACATGAAGAGCGAGGGCTCTGGAAACGTTACGGGTTTGAAATTCGAAATTCGTTCTCAATCTCGTATTTGTAGTCCCATCTAAAGGTACCTAGTATTTCCAAAGTCAACCTTTAATTGTACGAAGGAAATGATAAGAAATCAGGTTTGGAGCTTAAAACAACAGAGATCTTCATTGACGATTTGTTGAAAACCGACAAGAGTCGGAAACTTAGGCTAAATGTGTCCGGGACGTACATGTACGTAGCTGTGCATACGGACTAATTGTGTAGCTATTTCGTATTCTGTTCTAATACGCTCTTGTAAGAAATAATCAAAAACAAAAGTAGGAATGAGAAGACTCGCATTCGGACAAATTGTGCTCCTGTTCAATTCCTTAGCCCTTCCCCTGCTTTAATCATCAGCTTAGCCGTGTATATTCCTGTTCTTAACAACCGTTTAAGAGCAAAGGTGAATATCAAATGTTTCGGTACTCGTGTATCAAACCTATCACTGTAGCTGCATATTAATCTAAAATTACATTTCGTTCCAAAATGACATTCTTTTTTCATGTTTACTTTTTGACACATTTTCAAGTCGACTAAAAGGTGCTGTCCACCTCAAGTAACACTCTTGAGTGCGATTTTTTTCTGCTGTGAATCATGGCTTTGCTTACCTCGCTTTCTAGGTCAAACTCCGTGTGCGTCAAAACTAGTCTCACGGTAATTCTTTCGTTTGCCTTGAGTGATCTACGTAGTGTTATCGTGGGTTGTCGTATTATCATCGCTCATGACTGCGGGTTTTCTCTTTTAGCCTCGTGGATATTCGGCCCATTGCGCATATCTTTCTCCAGTGCTAGCAGAGTTACCCTTAGCCACATCTCTCAAATCCTCCTTACTGCCAAAACTTAGCTTTTGTAGAGGTGTCGACGAGAGATATATTCCTTGTGACATGTCAGGTCTTATACTAAAGCGATGGAGGCGTCCATTTCTTACATCTGTGTCTGCCAGTGCTGTGTTCTCTAGGCTGGTTCCTTCCGTGTCAGATACAAGTGCACTTGCATGTGACTTTCCTCGTTGTGCAGACAAGGCAAGTGCAGTGTTTATACGTATATGTCTAGCAGACCTTGCTCTCAGTTCATAAGATTCCCGCGCTGATGAAGGCTTTTCCCTAGATGTTGACCCCAACGACCGCGTTCTTAACCTTTCCGATTGCTTGGCACTGAGTTCATAAGAGTTGCTTAGATCTGCCCCATTTATCAGACTTGTGTCTGTGTTGTTGATGGCCTCTGCAGATTGATCCCCTCCCTTCAAGGGATTTCCTGTTGCAGAATTCGGTCCAGTTGGCATATCTGGCTCGTTTTCGTTAGAGACCTTAAAGTGGCACCAGTCTATGTACGGAACAGATGATATTCTTTCTTCACTGCCAGCAGAGTTATTCTTAGTCACATCTCTCCAATCCTCATTACTGCCAAAACTTAGCTTTTGTACAGGTGTCGACGAGAGATGTATTCCTTGTGACATATCAGGTCTTATACTAAAGCGATGGAGGCGTCCATTTCTTACATCTGTGTCTGTCAGTACTGTGTTCTCTAGGCTGGTTCCTTCCGTGTCAGATACAAGTGCACTTGCATGTGACTTTCCTCGTCGTGCAGACAAGGCAAGTGCAGTGTTTATACGTATATGTCTTGCAGACCTTACTCTCGGATTATAAGATTCCCGCGCTGATAATGGCTTTACCCTGGATGTTGGCTCTAACGACCGCCTTCTTAACCCTTCCGGTTGCTTGGCACTGTGATCATAAGAGCTGCGTAGATCTGCCTCATTTATCAGACTTGTGTCTGTGTTGTTGATGGCTTCTGTAGATTGATCCCCTCCCTTCAAGGGATTTCCTGTTGCAGAATTCGGTCCAGTTGGCATATCTGGCTCGTTTTCGTCGGAGACCTTGAAATGGCACCAATCTATGTAGGGAACAGATGATACTCTTTCTCTGCTGCCAGCAGAGTTACTCCTAGCCACATCTCTCAAATCCTCCTTACTGCCAAAACTTAGCTTTTGTAGAGGTGTCGACGAGAGATATATTCCTTGTGACATGTCAGGTCTTATACTAAAGCGATGGAGGCGTCCATTTCTTACATCTGTGTCTGCCAGTGCTGTGTTCTCTAGGCTGGTTCCTTCCGTGTCAGATACAAGTGCACTTGCATGTGACTTTCCTCGTTGTGCAGACAAGGCAAGTGCAGTGTTTATACGTATATGTCTAGCAGACCTTGCTCTCAGTTCATAAGATTCCCGCGCTGATGAAGGCTTTTCCCTAGATGTTGACCCCAACGACCGCGTTCTTAACCTTTCCGATTGCTTGGCACTGAGTTCATAAGAGTTGCTTAGATCTGCCCCATTTATCAGACTTGTGTCTGTGTTGTTGATGGCCTCTGCAGATTGATCCCCTCCCTTCAAGGGATTTCCTGTTGCAGAATTCGGTCCAGTTGGCATATCTGGCTCGTTTTCGTTAGAGACCTTAAAGTGGCACCAGTCTATGTACGGAACAGATGATATTCTTTCTTCACTGCCAGCAGAGTTATTCTTAGTCACATCTCTCCAATCCTCATTACTGCCAAAACTTAGCTTTTGTACAGGTGTCGACGAGAGATGTATTCCTTGTGACATATCAGGTCTTATACTAAAGCGATGGAGGCGTCCATTTCTTACATCTGTGTCTGTCAGTACTGTGTTCTCTAGGCTGGTTCCTTCCGTGTCAGATACAAGTGCACTTGCATGTGACTTTCCTCGTCGTGCAGACAAGGCAAGTGCAGTGTTTATACGTATATGTCTTGCAGACCTTACTCTCGGATTATAAGATTCCCGCGCTGATAATGGCTTTACCCTGGATGTTGGCTCTAACGACCGCCTTCTTAACCCTTCCGGTTGCTTGGCACTGTGATCATAAGAGCTGCGTAGATCTGCCTCATTTATCAGACTTGTGTCTGTGTTGTTGATGGCTTCTGTAGATTGATCCCCTCCCTTCAAGGGATTTCCTGTTGCAGAATTCGGTCCAGTTGGCATATCTGGCTCGTTTTCGTCGGAGACCTTGAAATGGCACCAATCTATGTAGGGAACAGATGATACTCTTTCTCTGCTGCCAGCAGAGTTACTCCTAGCCACATCTCTCAAATCCTCCTTACTGCCAAAACTTAGCTTTTGTAGAGGTGTCGACGAGAGATATATTCCTTGTGACATGTCAGGTCTTATACTAAAGCGATGGAGGCGTCCATTTCTTACATCTGTGTCTGCCAGTGCTGTGTTCTCTAGGCTGGTTCCTTCCGTGTCAGATACAAGTGCACTTGCATGTGACTTTCCTCGTTGTGCAGACAAGGCAAGTGCAGTGTTTATACGTATATGTCTAGCAGACCTTGCTCTCAGTTCATAAGATTCCCGCGCTGATGAAGGCTTTTCCCTAGATGTTGACCCCAACGACCGCGTTCTTAACCTTTCCGATTGCTTGGCACTGAGTTCATAAGAGTTGCTTAGATCTGCCCCATTTATCAGACTTGTGTCTGTGTTGTTGATGGCCTCTGCAGATTGATCCCCTCCCTTCAAGGGATTTCCTGTTGCAGAATTCGGTCCAGTTGGCATATCTGGCTCGTTTTCGTTAGAGACCTTAAAGTGGCACCAGTCTATGTACGGAACAGATGATATTCTTTCTTCACTGCCAGCAGAGTTATTCTTAGTCACATCTCTCCAATCCTCATTACTGCCAAAACTTAGCTTTTGTACAGGTGTCGACGAGAGATGTATTCCTTGTGACATATCAGGTCTTATACTAAAGCGATGGAGGCGTCCATTTCTTACATCTGTGTCTGTCAGTACTGTGTTCTCTAGGCTGGTTCCTTCCGTGTCAGATACAAGTGCACTTGCATGTGACTTTCCTCGTCGTGCAGACAAGGCAAGTGCAGTGTTTATACGTATATGTCTTGCAGACCTTACTCTCGGATTATAAGATTCCCGCGCTGATAATGGCTTTACCCTGGATGTTGGCCCTAACGTCCGTCTTTCTGGTTGCTTGGCACTGAGATCATAAGAGCTGCTTAGATCTGCCTCATTTAACAGACTTGTGTCTGCGTCGTTGATGGCTTCCGCAGATTGATCCCCTCCCTTTAACTTTGCTGGATCTTTTCGGGAATTCCTTCGTGGCTGAAAAGTTCCCGTGAACTCTTGTGTTACCGCGTTTATCTTAGATCTACGTTGCTGCTCGTATTCATTCCCGGGCAAGATCCCGTCTTCGCCATCGTTTGCTCTGTTTATTTTTTCCACGCTCTCTGGCATAGTTGCGTCCGATATTACATCAGATCCTTCTCTTACGACAGCCCGTTTCCTGAAAACAGACTTCCGTCTTGTCGTATCCAGTTGATCGTATAGTGAGGATGGGCTGGCTATGTCAACTTTTGAATGTGTTATCTCTTGTAGGGTACCCTTCACTGCAACATTTGTGTTTGGTTTCAGCGTCGCCCTGTTATTTTCCCACAATGACAGCAATGCTAAGCTATCCTGGGAGACTTCAGACTTGGTTCTGCCTGCTTCCTCGTTTCCTATGCTGTGCTCGGATATACTGTCATCATCGGTCAGCAGTTTCCTTCTATATTCACTGAGCTCTTCATTTACCTTGCCCTTAAATCCTTCCATTGAATTTATTAACTTTTCCTTTCCATGAACCACTTTTGACCAATCTTTCCTCTGGCATTTAGAAGACGTTACTAGTAGTCTTTCAAAACTTTCCTGATCGAAGTCACTATACCGTCGCCCACACCTACTTAATTTTTTACTTTTCTTTGTACTGTGCGCTGTTTTCTCATCCCTTGCTACCCGTTCTATGTCCCCTTCTAACACTCTTGTCAAAACGACTTCCCTCGCCCATCTGTCCCGCTTGTAATTTCGCGAAACTCCACGAATATTGCGAACAACAGCTAATCGCTCCGCAATTTCGTATCCGAATCGCTCGATCTCTTTTTCCCGTGGAGAATTTTGAGTTCTTTTAGAGAAACCTTTCAAAATATCCATTAGCCCTCCACTCACGGAAGTACTTCTGCGCCTTCCATTCCCTTGGGACGAGGAACGTCTCATCATTACGTAAATCTCTGAAGTTCTGCAGGTGCTAGAGCGCTGCGGCAAATCTGGCGGCCTTTTCCTGCTTCTACGGGCCTCTGTGTGCACGGTGCCACATTGAAAGTCAAACCAATAAGGAAAGGCTCCGTCCAGGACTTCTGACGTCAGACCGTCTCCGCTATTTTTAATTGCCAACAGACATTCGTGCAGGGTGCGGAAACATGGTCTATCGGCAGGGTCCTGAAGGCATTCCGCTATTATGGATTGGATGTAGCCTGGCCAAATTTCAAGCATGGGAAGTGTCATTTGATGATGGCATATGGCTTGTTTGATGGAGCATGTAAGCCAAGACCACGGAAGCTTCCTTGCCAGGGTCTCCCACATCAGGACACCAAAACTAATGCAAATGAAACAGGAAGGTGTATTTAACTTTCCAAGCATCCAGGTCTTTATAAAGCATTTTTTTTTTTTTTTTTTTTTTTTTNACATATATTTGGGTACGGTGTTCTTTCCTCGCGGTCACAGCGATGAGCGGCTGTCCATTACATGTATCGTGAATCACTGCATAGACTTCTTAAAACTGACGTTTTAATTTTTTTTTTTTTTTTTTTCTTTTTACTGTTTACTACGGGTGCAAAGTTGCACCGTAAGAAAGGCAAGTTTGCGCTTCATGTCTTTACAAACGAGTAAATATTCCATTAGCGGCATATCGCAAACGTTTTTGCAGTTGTTAATTTTTGAATCTGAAACATGATTTTTATTATTGTTTTGTATTTGAGTTGAAAATCTTTGGCTTCACATTACCTGTTCATATAGTAGAAGTAGTATAGTACTAGTACGGTTTGCATAGGATAACTTTGAACCCTATGGTATCCAGCCAAAAATATCCCTTGTGCAGACCACATTGCCAGTATGGTACGTCAAACCTGAATCATGAAGCCCACTAATATAGCCCATCATCGCCAAGGTACAAAAAGTCAATTAAATGGCAACCATGCCACAAATTAAAAGTTTAGAAAGTTTACTTAACGCGACAAAAACCAACCTATAAGCATCACCAGCCATATTTGGTGGTTCGTGTAAAAGCTGCTCGGGTGCCATCCAGTTTTCGTGTACTGAGCATGCGTTCTCGTGTTTCTGTTCACCGTCCTCCTGTGAGAACGCCAAGTTACCAATCTTAGCTCTGAACTTTTCGTACACAAAAACTGAGAATGGATTAAGGAAGCCGTGCACTATGGAATGGCAGTGAAGATATGTCATTCCCTCAGCTACATCTAGAAGTAAATGGACTCTTTCAGGCAAGTTCATCTCTGTTCGTGTCTTGTAAAGTAGATGGTTCAGAGAAGCCAACTGAAAATGTTCCATAACAAGGCAGAAGTGCTGTGGCTGAGGGCCCAGACATACTGCCATGAGAAGAGACACCCGCGGGTGACGTAACCAGCTGGAAGAAGATGTAAAAAAAGTCGTAAATTTTCAGCTCTTGCTTAGTGGCACAGACATGCCATAATTATTAGGTTCTGCATTCTATCAGACAATCCGGCCTCGTCCACTAACTC